CACACACACACACACACACACACACACACACGACTGTGCACACAGCTTGAAGGGGCTTGTTGATTGCACAAAGCTCACTGGAAGGCCCATCTGTGGATTCCAGTTTAAGCGTCCACCTGTGAACCTCTTTGAGGACGCCGGGCTCCGTGGGCCCACCATGGAGTCCGGCCGTCTTACTTTACAGACACGGTGCAGAGGAAACACTTACCAAAGTCCTGCATCAAATGTTGTCTGAAACCCAGAAGCCTGCCCAAACTCCGATTGCTTCTTACTTTATCACCGTCCCGACGGGTGTGAACGGACATTTTACCGACGGAACTAACTGTGGGTGGAGACTTTCTCCGTGGCCAGGGTGGTGCCCCGTCCGCCCCCTCTTGGACCTGCCCCCCTTCCTCCTCGATGTCCTTCAGAACACTGGGGAAGGCCACCTATCGACTGGACAATGGAGTTGGTGGGGGCTAAAGGAAGGAACAGGCTTTGTCCCAAGTCCTAGCGGGCTGGACGCCAGGGGGCCCGTGCAGGGTTTGCACTTGTCAATTTCACAACTGTGAGGTGCAAGCCGTTGCCCTGGCAGCGTTTCTGCCTAGCCTCACCTGGCCTCCTCCTTTCAAGAGAAGCCTCTCCTCACACCCTGTCCTGTCGCACAGCACGGAGAGCGGGGGTTCGCCTGGGATCTGATGGCTGACTTCTCCAGACCGCCTTCCACTGGGGAGTACCTGTGCCTATCGCGGCTGCATAGACCTATGTCTATGGAGCTCGGGATAGGCCCAACTGTCTAACGGTGCCACTTGGGTGCCTGTGTCATGTGGGGAGGGCGGAGTGTCTGGGAGGGGGCAGAGGGCGACAAACAGGAGCCTTCCTGGAGGTGCTGATTTAAAGGGGGCCTCCCCCTCTACCTTTCAGAAGTCAGCCTATCAGTAGCCTACAGCGCCTTTGGGAAAACAGAGAGCCCCTGACCACGAAGCAAGTCTGGGAAGTGTCTTCTGGAAGATGGGGTAGGACGTCCTCCAGCGGCTGGCAGCCAGTCCCATCCCCACAACCCGCTTCCAGCAGCTGCGCTCGGATCAGATTCCCAGGGCCCAAGGAGGCGGCCGCATTTGCAAAGGGAAAGAACAAGGAGGGCGGGGGGCTGGGGGAGGCAGAACAAACTCACAGCCGCAGCGAGAGTCTTCTGCAAACCTCTCGGGGAGACCAAGTACACCAACACCGCCACTCTGCCTCCTGAAAGGCCACGGGCAGCAGGTCGGGGAACCCCGTCCGAAACCGGAGAGGTGGTGGAACCCCGGGAGATGCTCGTTCCCCAGTCGCTGACCTCCAAGCACAGCTGCCCTGTCTTGCCTACAAGCCGGGGTAGGGGAGTCGGTGGAGGGTGGATGGAACTACGGAAGAAGAAGGCAGGGCAGGGTCTTGCGTACCTGGCAGGCAGACAGGCGGCGGGCGGCGGACGGCGGGCTCTCCAGACAGTCTGAAGGTCTGCCGGAATGTGGAGGGGTTTAGAGGCAGGCAACAGGAAACCACTCAGAGATCTGGGCTGGGTCTGTCTCCCTGTGGCCCCTCCTCTTCTCTGTCTCCTCCTCCTCTCCCCTCTCCCTGCCGCCAAAGTTGTCTCTAGTCTTTCATTTCTCCCCCCCACCCCCACCTCCACCCGCCTTTGCTGTGGGCTGTCCTGACCAGACTCTCCAACCCCACCTACCTCATCTGTTCTGGGGCTGCTGCCTAAACACACTCTTGGAATGCCTGCGCTGGTAGGATTATAGGAATCCTCCAGAACAGCCTCCTCCTTGTTTAGAGGGGGAACTGAGGCCCAGAGAGAGCGGGGCATCCCCCACACCCACACACATAAACCCAGGCAGAGCCAGGCCCTGAGTCTCCAGTTTATGACCAGTAATCTGTACAAGAGCCCTCCCTAATACCAGGCCAGGCTGGGAGGGAGAAGCAATTCAAAGGGCTTGTGGGGATTTATCTGTGACAAAGGCCAGGCCTTGCTTTCTGTACAGACAAGACTCAATGCCAGTGGTGGCGTCAGCAGTGGTGATTTGGGATGTGACTTCAAAGAGACAGAAAACATTTCAACTCTTGTTGCCCCACTAGTAGACATCTCTCTGGGGGCCTGTGCCGTCAGTATAGGACAGGTCGGGTGATTGGTGGTATTGATAACTGTAGATTCACAATAGCCACTATTTGCTTTGGTGGTGGTTGTTTGCTGCACATGCTTAAAAATGCAGAGAGTCATGCTGACCTGAAGGGTTTAGATGTGGATTCTCTTGGGCACTGAGCACATCCAGGTGAACAAAGCCCCCAAGATGTGCTGCCGGACTCACAGAACTCATGGGCAGATCAATCTATACATTGAGAAGATCCTTCCTGAAAAGGAACACATTGTTCCTAAACCAGAGGAGGAGGTTGCACACACAAAAAAAGATCTCCCAGAAGAATCTGAAGGAGCAAAAACGTATGGCTCAGGAGTAAATGAAGTTTAAAATAAAAGTTAAAGAAAAGAAAGAAGAAGAATATTTATTGGGTGCCGAACAGTCTGGGAGATACAAGAACTAAGTACTTGGCTGTCTTCAGGAAGCTTTGGGTCTTCCTGTGAGGACACGCTCCCTTCATGGACTCCTAAGCTTGGACTCCAGGCTCAGCCCAGTGGCATGGAGGAGCAGGAGAGCTCTTTCAGCTGAAATCAGCAGAGTAGGCCTCCTGGAAGAGATGGGCCTTAACAGTGGGCTGTGTTTGAATAACGTGGAAGGTAGAAGACAGGAACATTCCATGATAAACTTCTACACCATTAACCCCTGCCTCTCTCACCATCCTCGCCTCCTATCGCTCTCCTGGCGCACTCTGTCCCTGTCACACCAGCCTCCTTTCAGTTCCATAGCTGCCCCAAAGTTGTTCCCACCCCACCCCAGGGCCTTTGCTCTTGGTTTGACCTCTGCCAGGGACACACCATCTGATTTCCCATGCCCCGATCTTTCTCATCTTTGAGACCTTGTTTCTAAGTGTCACTCCTCAGGGAGACCCTGCCTGTGTCCAACTTGAATCAGTCTCCTTGCCTCTCTCTGTCAGGGCTCTCCCCTCAGCCACACTGTTGAGCTCCTCCGTAGCCCTCATCGCTCTCAGAAATTCCCTGCCTCTGCTACCAGACAGGCGCACCGTGAGGACGGGGCTTCCTGTGTCTTCCCTCCTCACTGCTCAACTCAGACTGAGCTCTCAATCAATGTTTCTTTCACTGAAGACATGGGCCTCAGTTTACCCATCTGAAAACCTACAGGATTGCCTTTTATCAGCATTCCAACCTGGAACAATGCTTACCACTGATCTTCAAGAGCTCCTGGGAGCTACTACAGTTAAATGTCAACGTTTGAGTGTTGGGGGTTTTCTACAAGGTCCATGGCTTCCTTTAGATCCTCAGGGGTCAGTAATCCAAGAGATGGCTGCTCGAGATGATCCCCGTGGCTTCTCCCAGGCCCACAAGCCCCGAGCTGATGCCCTGCCTCAGCTGTTCAACACAGGGTGCTGGCTGACTCCCAGAGCGCCGTGTGCCATCTGAACATACATATATTTTTATAGATTTGGTTGCTATGGCTCCCAGGCATCATAAGGACTAAAATTAATTTCAACTTTTTGTTTTCTTCCTAAACTAAGTTGATGATTTTGAGGAGGATCCACCAGTGGAACCATCCACGGTCTTTAGTGGGGGGTTGGATGTGGCCCTCAGTTCAGGAACTGGGAAGCTGATTGTAGTTAAACTGAACCTCCAGGGACAGAGATCTCATCCCGAGGTCACCTCTCAGTCCCTGTAGGGAGACCCAGAAGCAGGAGCACTCAGAGAAGACAAATCAGATTTTATATCCAAGAATAAGAGCATTCTGGGAAGCAGGAGCTTCTGAAGCAAGGATGAGCCTGGCCTAAACCAGGGAATCAACTAGAATAAGAGCTGGTCCTCCTGGAGCCACCGAGGACTTCGTAGGATGGGCAGTTCCTACTGTGCCACTGGGTGACTTGGGGCTCACCCTTGTCAAAATGCATATTTGGCATTCTCAATGGACTCAGATGATGCTCTTTGAGTTTGGGGAACTGAGCTTCACCTTTTCCACTTGAAAAATAGATTGAACAGAATAATAGTAGTGATATGATCCAGCCTTTATGAAACACCTACTATACGCTAAGCGGATCCCGGGGTGGTGCAAACAGTTTGTACTGGACTAGTCACTTAGAAAGAAAGGAAAAGGCCGACTCCTCAATTCACCAGCAGCACCGCAGAGGGTGAGAAAAATGACTGCGCTTTCTCCTCCCGTAAACAGTTTCCGTCTCTGAAAGCCACAGGGGCACGCGACGATGAGTCAGCATTGCTCGATGGCAGTGAGTTCGAGTTCTGGCAGAAGGCAGGCCCGTGACCTGCTTCCGTAAAGATGGAGCCAAGCAAACCCTACGAAGCAGTCCGACTCTGCCACCCGTCAGGCGTCCACGAGTGGACACCTCTAGGGCGATGTTGGTGCTTTTCTTTTCCCGAGAGCCAGCAGAGAAAGCCTCCTGAAACAGCGCGGGCTGGGTTTGAATAACATGGAAAGGCAGAAGGCAGAGCACATTCCATGACAAACTTCTACACACGTGGCCTCTGTCTCTCTCGTCATCCTCGCCTCCTTGCGCGCACACACTCAGTTTTCAGTTTCTAAATGCCCAGCACCGAGCTATACTGTCTGATGGAATCCCCCTCTCTCTCTCTGACTCAGTGACTGTCATTCTCCCTACTTTAAAGACATGAAAAGTGAAGCTTGGACAAATCATTTGCCCAAGCTCATGCACCAAGTAGGTGGCCGATAGATATTCAAATCCAGGTGTAAGGGACACCGTAGCCCATGCTTAGCCACTCTACTCCCACCACCCATCCCCCTACTCCCCAGCCCTAAGTTTCCCTCCAGTGCTGACATTTCAGGACCACAGTGCCACTTGGCAGCTCTCTCCTTAAGGAGGGAAGTTGCTGATTCAACATCAGGTTGATCAGCTTTCTAGCTTGCAATCTCTGAGGGTGCCTTCTGCCTGCTCCCTACCCCTCCAGTCCCTCAACAGCTCCCCTCTCCTACACATCCAACCACTTTATTGTGAGCCTGTGCTTCCCAGGGAGGCCCTAGCACCACAGCCACACCCTTAGACCTGAAGGATGCTCTACTGGCCCCATGCTGTGGGACTGTCCCCATGTACAGGACACCTAGACTTCGTCCACCTTGGAGAACATCGGCGACCTCATGCACTCATTCCTTCTTCCCTTCTCAGACCTTGCATCAGACACTCGGGAGAGAGCAGCAAGGGGGGCAAAGACTGTGACTCCGTGCGACGGACAGTCTGGTTGGTGGCGGCAGGCACGGTACTCGTTCTGGTTGTTTTAAGTTCTATAAATAAATGGGCAGAGTGACATGAGAGAGTAAGAGTAGGCTACCTTAGAGTTATCGGGGGAGGCACAGTTCGGGAGAAATGTTGAATGGTAAGCAGCAGTCTTTGAGAAGACCTGGAGAAAGGATATTCCAGGCTGGAGGGGAATAAGCCCCAAGGCCCTGAAGTGGGGAGACGTCCCGTAACCGCAAGCGGGGCTGGAACTACCCAGTAGAAGATTGTCCTCTTCCTCCTGGTCTTTTTTCTTCTCCTCCCTGCTTCTTCATTCTTTCATTTTGACACCCTTGAGACTTACAAAACATCTTGCTCTCCTGCCTCAGTCTTATAAGGGTCAAGGTAGAGGCATTAGAACCTTTATTGTTCACTATAGGGAAACTGAGGTCTCCTGACCTCCAGCTTAGAGCTAGACTACTATCCCCACAGACAACCTCCAGAGTCTCTGTCCCCTGACCCACCAGATGGACAATCTCTGGGAGCTGGACGGGGATCAGGTGGGCAACCAGCATTCCGATGCAGGCGCTGGAACACCTGCAGATAGCAGCAGGCTCGAAGTCCAGAAATGGATTAGGGAGGCTCTGCTGATTTAGCTTCCAGGAAGAAGGAAAGCAATCAATCAGAAGCTCATTAAATCCAAGCAGGGTCAAGAAACAGGCTCCTTAGCCACCCAAGGCTTTGCACAGCACTACAAGGTCTCTGAGCTCAAATCTCCAGGCCATAAAGCTGTAAGAGAATAAGAGCACTCAATGAACTTTACATGTGCAGGAGTAGGTCCCACTGGGTTGATTATGACTGTAAACAGGAAAGAGAGGTGCTAATATCCAATGTAAAATAAGCTGCCAGGGCCTGGTGGCATGGTGGGCTAAGCTTTAAGCTGCCAGTTTCAAGGTTGGCAGTTCAAACTCACCAGCTGCTCCACTGGGGAAAGTTGAGGCTGTCTGCGCCTGTAAATAGTTACAGTCTCAGAAAGCCTATGCAACAGTTCTACTCTGTCCAATAAAAGCAAGCAAGCAAACAAAAACCTGCCATTGCATCAATTCTGATTCATAGCGACCCTATAGGACAAGGTAGACTTGCCTTTGGGGGCTTCAAAGACTGTTACT